GATAATAAGTAGTATAGCTGGGGTAGAAGAGAAAGCCTTCCTCTTTTACAGCTTTTCCTTATAATTGTCTGTTTCTTTGTCCAGTTTCCCCCACTGGACTATGAGCTCCTTAAGGCCCAGCCTGTGTCTGGGCTACCAGCACATAGCAGAGAACCTGGCACACATTTGTTGAAAGAACAAGTGAATGAACAGATTTTCTAGTTCTTACCATCTCCACAGTGTTGTTGTAGAGGCTCAATAATGCAGTTTGCCCTCCTCTGTCTTGTAAAGGTTGTAACCCAGACACCCCATTCTCCATCGTTTTAGAGCTTTCAGAGTACTGAGGTGGCGTGTGGGGTGGGGGTGAGTGAAATTGGAAAAACAAAGGAGTAGGGTCTCTGTCCTCGGTCCTCTGGCCCAAGAAAGTCACTTCTGTCATCACAAGGCCGTTGAAGGCTCCCTCACCTGATAAGCTATGTAGAGAACTGTGCTCGGGCATAGCTCATGCCATGGACTCCCACCGCTATCCCATTGCTCCTTCCCCCATTCTGCCGTGAGCTTTCCCAAAGACTTCCTGGCAGTAAGGAGGAGAGGAGGGGACTGGGTCAGTCCCACTATGACCCCGAAGAAGAGGCCCAGAGGTGGTTGCCCCTCCCAGACCACATCCTGGCCTGCCCCTGCAGCTTTGGGATACTTCTGTCCCTTATCCTGCCCCAGAGAGCCCCTACCCTGGCCTCCCCACCTCCTCCCCTTCTGCAGCCACCAGCTGCCTCAGTGCCTAGCAGGCTGGGCTGAGTCACTTCCAGCTCACATTCTCCTTCTGGTCAGGCCAGTTTGGCAAATCTCTCTGGGTCCTCCTCCCCATGGCCCTGGGACCTGTGGGGCCCCTCTTCCCAAGGTCCCTGGATACCCCCACCTCCACCACGGGGCAGATCGCACACCTGGAGGCATGTATGGGAGGAGACTTCAAAGACCACATGGCAGATGTCTCTCCTCAAATCTAGGGATGGGGGTCTCTGCTCAGGACCAGGAGTCCCTCTCTTTCCAGAAACAACCCCAGCCTGGTCGTGTCTCTCTGAATTGCCTAAGCACAGGATCTGCTATTTTGCACTCTCTGGGGCAAGAACTTCACCCTCACCTTGGGTCCTTCTTGACTAGAGTCCGATGAGGACGAGATAAGTACCTCCCACCCCCAATCTTCGGGGAGAAAAGGGAAGGCGCATGGTCTGGGCCACCCTGCGGTCGTCAGCCTGGATCTAGAATCTCCAGGGTCCCTTGCTGTGACTGCCAGAGGGACTGAGGAGCCCCAGACAGACCTGTCCACTGCTCCAGGATTCAGCTACTTGCCAGCCAGAGTTCAGTAGGAAGTCACAGTGGAAGGAAGGGTAATGAAGTTCCCCCAGGTATCACTAGATCTCAAAGAGGACAGAGGAGGCAGGAGCTGACACCCCTTGGCCACCACCACCCTATGATGCCCCAGCAGAACCCCCTGGGTGCTGCAGCCCCATCTTGAGCACTCCCTGGGACAATTAGAAAACCAGGCCTAGAAGGAAGGGAAAGAATGTGTGAAGACTAAGGACAAGACCCCAGGTTCTAGGAACTCTGTCTGGGTGCAGACCCCATCCTGCCTGCCTCTCATGTCCCAGGCTGTTGCCTTCTCCCCCACGGGCACTGGGCTGTTTTACCCACCCAGGCCCTGGAGAGGCGGAGCTGCGTAGTCCAGGGAAGGAAGATATATCCTTATCCTCTCCCATACTGGCCCTAAGGAGCTGACAGAAAGGGTGGGCTGGCCTCCAGGTCACCCAGTGGGTGTGATAACTTCTGAGGCTGGCCCCTGGATCAGGAGGTTGAGTTTAGATGCCTGGTGAAGGGAGTGGCTGGAAGGGGAGACAAGGACCCCAAAACTGGAGGCGAGGAGGGCCCTCATCCCAAGGGGGAAAGGGTTTTTAGTGAGAGGAGAGTAGAAAAGGATGGAGTTGCAGAGAGAGGGTCTGTGTCTACCCAGCCATCTCTCACAGTCTTCCTGCTCCTACACCCTTGACCTTTGAGGAATTCAAGACCAGTGAGGGAGAGCCTGTCCCTGCAAAGTCATTTCTGCATGACTTAAGAGTCACCAGCTGTGTGATCCTCCTCCTTGGCACCCCCTTCACTGCCAACACCAGTGCTAGGGGCCTTCCCCCATCCCTGCTTCTTCTAAGTGGGTAAGTCCACCGGGCCCTTCTGCCGGGGCCCCAGCTTCCCGCCCCCCTATTCCAGGCTGCCAGAAAAGAGCACACAGCCCAGGCACTTCTGCAAATGTTTAATGCACTTAGATTACACAGAGGAAGAGGGGGCAAGAAGGAAACAACATCTAAGTGAGTCACCCAAAAAACCTTACAAAAGTCCCAGGCTGGCTGCAGCCCCAGGAACCGCGTCGCCACTGACATTAGAAACTAATATAAAATTTTACAAAAGTCTGCCAGCTGCAGCATTCAGGTACTTGTACAAAAGAAGGGATCTCTCTACAGGGCTCCTGACATGTCACGGGACCAGGTGACTCACCTGGCACAAAGGGCCTGGCACTCAGAGAGGGAAGACAACCAGATAAAAAAATATCGTCGAGGGGATTCTCTACTGATCTGCCCCATAGGGGCAGTGACCTTCAGGTTTTCACTATGCTTAGGTCAATCTCGAAACAGTCCCAAGACCCTGTGTCTATTTTTATAACCGCTCTAGCCCTTGCAAGTGCTCCTCAAGGCTTCCCCAGGCCCTGCCCTGCAGCCACTCTTGGAAGGGGAAGAGGAGGGCAGGAAGAGGCACCAGCTCCCCAGCCTAACCTGAGACCTTGCATGGGGCCTCTCCTACCCCCTGAAGATGGCAGCTGGTTCTGCCGGCTTCTTGCAACCCACACTGGACCTGGGGGAAGCACAGGAGTCCTCCTTACATAGCAGGTGAACAGCAAAGGAGAGCCCGTTCCTCTGAGGCTCCAGTACCAGGGACCTGGAGGGGTGGGGTGGGACTGGGCAAGCCTCAAGGAGGCCTGCGTAAGAGACAGATAGAGGGAGAGTGGGAGGCGCCTCACCTCTCCAACTCACAGTGAGGTCAGGAGTTCCCAGAGAGCTGCACACAGGGAAGGAGGGGTACATTTACTGAGCACCCACCACACGCTAGGTGCTGTGCTTGGCAGGGTACATGCTCAGCCTCGCGTGATCCTCAGTGAGGGTCTCCTCCACCAGTCAGAAGCTCCATAGACAGTCCTTTCCCCCAGAGACCTCTGGGAAGGCACCACCACCCAAAGAAAAGGAGGCCTCCTGCTTCCCCAGAGCTGGTGCATTGTAGGGAAGGGAGGTGGAGGCCTGGCCCCAGCATGACCTTGGATGTTCCTGATGTTCCTGACATAGGCTTCAAGGGCAGGCCACTCCTGCTCATCTTGTCTCCCAACTCCCCAGCTGCCCTTCTGCGGCCCCTGCTATCCCAGAACACAGCCGCCATGCTCGTGGGGCTGACCATCAGTCCACAAAGGCCCTGAAGGCTGAAGTGAGCTGTTGCTGAAATATCTCGCATACATGATACAGCTGAGCTCAGAAAATGCTGCCCCTCTCCAAAACCAGGCAGATGGAGAGCAGGATGAGAGGCAGCACTAAGGCCTCAGGCAGGTCCCCAGGAGAAGATTCGAGAAGAGGCAGGTCAGTGTGGCAAGGAAAGGAGGCAAGCTGATGGCCCCTCTCTGCCCCTGAAATGTCACTATACAAGAGCTTCAAAGGCAGGGCTGCAATGGTGGGTGGGTGAAGGCCAAGAAATGTCCTTTTGGAAAAGTCCTCGGGGCAGTAGAAGGCACAACTGCCGCCAACATCAGGTCCAGGGAAGCTCTTATTTTGGCTAGTGGGGGCATGATGTGAGTTTCTCCCAATCATCCAGGGTGATCTTCCTTGAAGCTCAGAGCCTGGATGGAGCTAACTGAATACACTAGGGGTGTGCAGGGGAAAAGGCCAGGCCTAATCGGCCCCTCCGGGGCCCAGTTTCTGCTCCCTGGAGAACCTGGGCAATGCCCTCATGGCCCCTGGAGGCAGCTCTTTGGCTGGATCTCTCATCAGAGGGGTCCTGCACCCCCAGTAGTGCTGTGTGTGTGTGTATGTGTGCGTGTGGTGGGGAGTGAGGATACCTGCATGGTCCCTGATAGACAAAATGACTGTTTTGGGGAGGCCTGAGGATGATCTTGAAGTTGCAGTCCCTGGAGTCAGAGGGTATGAAGGTAAGAAAGGGGCTTTCTGATCCCAGGCCAGGAGTGGGAGACAATCCAAGAGGAACCCCAAAACCAAGGGCCAGAGATAAGTTAGCTTCCAGGAGGAAGACTGTGAAATCTGCAGTATTTGGGGTGAGGGACCAAGGATCCCCAGAGGCCAGGTAAGCAGAAAAGGAGTCAGGACAATGACTAGGGAAGGAAAGATGAGAAATGAAAGGATGCAGGGAGGGTGGGAGGTAGAGTGCCCTGTTTGCAAAATCCAAGTGAAAGATGTTGAGAGGCTGCCTTTTCACTTTCTAACAAGCCAGAGTTCTGCAGCCTGGAGGTTGGGAAGCATAGGGGATAAGGGAATGGGACGGAGGTGGCCAAAGCACTGAGACCCAGGCCTTGAGCAGCAGGTGGGGATAGTCTGTGAGGTGCTGGGCCTCACTCTCTCCCAGGTAGGCCTGACTGGGTAAAAAGGCCTAGAAGATGAGGCTGGGGCCACCAAATTTCTGAGACCCTGATAGGCCTTGAAACTTGTAGGGGCCCAGTCCACTTGGGAAACAGCAGACTCCCTTCCTGGCCCCAGCTAAACTGGGCTCAAGGCTGCACGGGGGAGTGCATCTCAGCTCTCCTCCACCTGTCCCAAGCTCCGCCAGGCCCAGCTGGGAAGAAAAGCCTCTCTGTGAAGCTGGCTCCTCCAGGGCGTGGGCTGGCAGGTGAACACCCGGCACCTTGTCCTGTGGGGGTGCAGGGGGAGAGACAGCCCCAGGCGTCTGTCTGAGAGAATGAGAAAGTTCATCTGGAAATAAAGTCCTGTTTAAAAAACGTTATATACACCGCTTCTCGACATCTTCGTACAGCAATAAAATGCTATCCGGTTTCTAAAAAACCAAATGAGGAAGAAAACCAAACATGATGGGAGAAATTGTTCTGTGGCCAGAGGAGCTTGACTACCAAGGCTTTCCAGAGCTGAGCTAGGCAGCGCACCCATGTCTGCACTTGGCATTGGTGGGTCCCTACTTCCCTGCCGGGGTAGGTGATAGTGAAGCCTGTCTCAACCTAGGGGCACATCAAGGGTGCAAAGTCAAACCTCAAACCAGAACCTGGAGCGGCAGCAGAAGGGGAAGGTTTGCATTTACCCGCTCACTGGCGAGTGGGGCCTTAGCCTGGTCACACGGGCTTGGCCAGCTGGGTGGATGAGGCCCCGGAAGTGGAGGTCAGTGGGGGCCCAGGCCTGGGCACGACATCCCACCAGGCACCAGGTGCAGTGGCTGCGCAGTAATCCTCACGTGTCTCCTTTTATTTGTGGGACTCTCTTTTCTGCAGTTGTTACACTGGAAGTCACTGGGGAGCAGCTGGGTTCCCCCTTGGCCCCTGCAGGGCCCAGCCCAGGCTAGTGCAGTGGACTGTCGAACACCACATCAGGCAGGATGGAGACTTTCAGCTTCTTCTCGGGCCAGCTGTACTCTTTGGGAAGTTTGAACTGTGGAGGGAGAAAGCACAGCCAGAGCACAGGGTTAGCAGAAACCATGATGGCCATCTTCACGATTGCCTAGAGCAAGGACCCTCACCCAAGCCCTGTCCCACGCATACTGTGCTGAGGGCAAGACAGGCCTGGCTTCTATCTCAAATGCTAGACCTAGGTGGGCAGCTGGGGTTAAGCTGCTGGAGTTTGGTGACTGCTTCTCTCCCCTCACCCTGACAATAATTAACCAGGGTTGGAGGAGGCATGTTTTCTAACGCTTTCTTGACTGTGCCGAGCTCCCTCCTGCTCACTTCCTTGGTTCTGCCTCCGGCCACAAGCACGTAAGGAATCTGCTCCCTGAGGCCCTGGGGCTGGAGGATGGAGAGGAGGGGGGAGGGTGCCGAGGCTACAGGGAAGTGGCTTGAGGTCTGGGACTCTGTGGTCCTGTCCCTGCCATGGCCTCTGTTTCTGAGGCTGGTGCGAGAAGGATCCTGGAACCTGCCCTCTGTAGCCTTTGCCAAAGGGTCCAAAGGGAAGGAAGTCCTGGCTCAGTCCCAAAGTCAGCCCCATGCTGGAGCCACCATGGGAGCAGAGGAGCAGGAGGAATGTGGCTTGAGGTGATTTCTTGGGCCTGGAGCATCTTCAGGAGTGGATCCCCACCCTACTCCCTTTTGTTCATTCTCAGCTGTGTCCCAGGACATGCCTTGAGAGTAGTTCCAGCAATGGCCAAGCAGAGCCCAAGGTCTTCCTGCCCCACCCCAGGAATCATTGATTTGCTTACAGTTTTGTTTTTCTCATTGGCCTGGGAGCTGCTGGTGGAGGTAGTGGGGAGAGGCTGATATCTTGTTCCCTCTGTATTCCAGAACCTTCCATGTGGTCTGGCACACAGCTGGTGCACAACAGATGCTCACTGACTTAGAGTGATGCTGGAGCTTGGAGACAGGGTTTGTCTTTTATGACTCCCAGTGACCCAGGACTAAGCAAGGAGTCAAGGCCAGGGTGGAAGGGAGAGAAGACCAGTGCTCTCAGCCTGCTGGTACTGGGGCTAGAAGTGGACAGGCCCAACACTTCCTGGCTGGCTCCCTCTCTCCCTCCCTCTGCTGGGGGATTTGGTATGCCAGAACTAAAGTGGAGAGTGGGGCAGGGTGTAGGGAGAGCCTCTGCACAGGAGAAAAAAAAAAGTCATTTTTAGTGACCTACTTTCCTAAGCTTCCCCTGGCTCCTGTCCCTCCTGCCTGGACTGTCCCCCTTCTACCCCTTCAACACCCAAGCTCAAAGTAGCAGTCTGGCACAGTGCCATCCCAGTGCGACAAGGCCTCTCCGGAAGTACTTCTGGGCAGCTGGCTCTGGTCTGGCTGAATGGGGAGCTGGGCCTCAGGGGCTGGTGCCTTGTGGGGGTTGAGTGGCTGGAACAAGGGCCAGCACAGACTGGTGCTCAGTGACTGCTGAATGTATGAATGAACGAATTTATCAAGCTGCATCCCACAGGACAGAGAAGACACTATCCTATCAGGGCTGGCCTCAGGCTCTGAGGAGTTCCTGTTCACCTGGAGACCAGGTCAGGATAGCCTCGCCCTGTGCCCGCTCCTCAGCCTCTTGAATAGCAGAGGCCTCCGGGTCCTGGGAGCCAGGTAGCTGGAAGCCCTTGCCCTGCCTGAAACCTAGCCCCTGCCTGGGCCCTGGGAGGTGAAGGAATGCTCCCTCAAGAAGCTCCTGGCAAAAAGGGCAAGGGAAGGGTCTGCTTCTGCCATAGGTGGGGGCTCTCCAGAGGCAGGGACAGCTTGCTAATGTTCCACTAACCCACGGGGCGCTGAGGCCACAAAGGCGCAGATCCCACTGGGGTGCTGATTAGCAGCAGGCAGGGGGAGGGGAAGGGACTTTCCAGAATGAGGTAAGTCCCTGCAAATAAGGATGCCGGGAACAAGGAAGAAAAACAAAGGGGATTATGGGCTCTGTTCCTGTACCCCAGAGGGGCAGCCAGGGGAAGGCACAAGCCTCACCTGGCCTGCCAGCTCCTCTGGCTCTGACTTAGGACTGGAAGAGGCTGACTAAAAGGGGAGAGCTCATGGCTGGGAAGGGAAGAAGGGCGAGTGACTCCTGGGTGGCCCGAGGCAAGAGCAGGAGTCCCTCGCTGCCCACCAGAACTTCCCAGTGGAATGTTCTCTGGCAGCAGACATGGGCCTTCTGTTCAGAAGCTGCCAAGGAACAGCAGGGGCTGGGGGAGAACTCATACTAGCCTGAAGGCCCTGGCTGCCTCTTCAATGAGGTTCTCAGGAGTTGGCAATTCAGACAATTTGCTGAGTGTCCTTATAATGGCTGGGGGGGGTGGTGGTTCAGGGAAACAGAGAAGAAATGAAGCCTTTCAGCATCTCTGGGGTCTCTTCCCCAGCCTATCCCCACGCCTCGGAGAGGCGCCTGAAGATGCAGACACACATGCAGACACACACACACATGCACAAAGACAAGCACATGCTCCTGGGGACTGGAGCCCACTGTCAGAGAGAATCCAACAGGCTTACTTCCTCTGGAGAAGTCAAATCTTCTAAGTCCTCCAACATTTTCTCTACAAACTCTTCAGTCAACAGAATCTGGGAAGGAGGCACAAGGCAGGCTTTTATTTTTTTAATATATGGTCTCTTTTTGCAACTGCCACGCTATGACCCTTTCTTCTGGCAATGGAGCAGGCACGAGCCCCTGGTGGTGATCCTTCTAGGGGCAAAGGCAAGTGTTTGATTTCTCTCCCCACCCCCAAGACCTCCCACCACCACTGCCTGCAATATCAGAGGGGCTGGGGGCAGAGGAAAGAGGACAAAGGAGAAGGGAGGTGAAGAGACCTGAGGGTCAGTTAGTGCTGGTCCTAGAAGGGAGACGAAAATCAAAAAAAAACAAACAAACAAACAAAAAAAAACCTAAAGCCTATTTGGCTGTTTGGCCTCCTGCATGTTGCAGCACAGAAGAGGGGAAACAGAAAAGCCGAGGGGCACAGAAGAGCTGTTGCCAACACCCTCCTTGCCCAGTGGGCTCACATGTGCCCCCTCCACCACTTGGTAGGACAAAAGCAATCTGTTTGGATTTGGAATACAAGCCCTGTCTGGAATCTGGAAATGCCCCAAAAGGTACATCCAAGAATGTCTGGGCTGGAGAGTTTGAAGACTGTAGACCAACCTCCCTCATTTTACAGAAGGCAAAGGGACCCTCCACTCCCACTTCCATCAACCTGTATCTGCATTATCTCAGGCTAAAGACCCCAAGCCATGGCCCTGTGGTCCCATTTAGCCGTTGAGTTCTTCAAGACTTCCTTTGCATACTTCTTCTGTATTCACCTCCCAGATTTCCCACTTTGCTGCTCTAGTCCAACAGACAGTCTTGTGTGTGATGTCTAGGGCAGTCTGGCTCCGTTATTCAGCTAGCACAACCACCACCCTCACTCCCTGAAGAAGTTCTCATAGCCAATGGGAATGCTTATTAAACTCTCCCTCTAGACTCTCAGGACTTCCAAAATCAGGTCTTCCTCAACCATTTCTCCTAACCTTCTCCTCTGGCCAGGCTGGCTCTGCAGAGGCAGGCTAAGCTCGCTCTGTGCCTGTACTACCATGCTGGGCACTGGCTGAGGAGGTCGCTCCTCTTTCAAATCTGACCCTTCCTTCACCCCATCCTCCCTGTGCTTGTCCGTGGGGCCTCTGCATCAGGCCTGTCTGCACCGCCCCACCCCAGCTGTGGCTCTACCTGCCTCTGCCTTGCTTCCTCCAGCAGACACTGAGTAGTCTGGGTGGGGCACAGAGGACACTACAGCCTCAAGGGGGATGGCGAGAGGCTCCTTGAGGGAAACCTTCCCTGTGAGTCGGTTGGGAATCAAGAACTTTAAGAAAATACCAAGCAGGTTTCCCCTGGAAGGTGTCCACTCTGATAAACTGCCTAGAAATAATAGAAGCTTCACCATTTAGAGTCAGCTTGTGAGATAAGTGGATTGGCAGAGAAAGGAGGGCGAGCAAGGAGGATCACTGAGGACCTCACAGGATGGAGGGCTCCAGAGGAAGAAAGTTGATGGGGTGGGGGTGGGAGCAAGGAATGAGAAAACTACCCCCAAGTGAGCAGAAAAACCACCACCACACCAGGCACTGTGCTAATTGCTCCTATGTCTTAGTTCCTTCAGTCTCCTTACGGATGAGGAATTGAGGCACAGAAAGGTTACCCAAGTTGCCTGTGTCACACGGCTTATGAGTGGCTGAGACAAGACTACATTTCAATTGTGTCTAGACTCCTGTTAGTACCTGAAGGGCTGCTTTTGAATCCTGGAATCTTACCCCCAGGACATTTACTCATTTATTCATTCTTCTACTCATCCGCCCAGCCCATCAATCCATTCAATTTCATAAGCATTCCCTGGGCGCCTCTGCTAGGCCTGGCCCTGGGTGGAGCTCTGGGGACACAGGTATGAAGGAAGCCTATTCCCCTCAGGGACAAGCATCCTCCCTTGTTTGACCAAAAAAACCCAAACCCATTGCTGTCGAGTCAGTTCAAACTCATAGTGACCCTACAGGACAGAGTAGAACTGCCCCATAGGGTTTCCAAGGAGCAGCTGGTGGATTCGAACTGCCAACCTTTTGGTTAGCAGCCGTAGCTCTTAACCACTATGCCACCAGGGTTTCCTTATTTGACAGGGAGTCAAAAAACCTCACTTTGCTAGGCTCCAAGCCCATAGTCAGGAACAAAACCAGCTCTGACCACTGGTCCACATCTCCTCCTCAAAGTTTCTGTTTCAGGAGCTCAGGCCTTGAGTGAGGCCAGAGACAAAGAACAAGCAAAGCTTAGAGACAGAGGGAGAGAGGCAAAGTCAGCCCAGGGAAGTGCCCACCCAAGTTCCCCAAACCGGGGCTGGCCCACCCCTCCAATCACACCTCGACCCCTCCCACAGCCCTGCTCCTCTGGCTCTCTCATCCCAGGGTTTTTTCCCCCAAAAGTCCAGAGTTTCCAGTTATCACCAGTCTACATGAGTAGCACAAAAGTCACATTCATATTTTTGGCATTTCCGGGGCTTGTTGCCATCTCTGCAAATGCTAGCACAAACAAAAGCATACCTAAAACCCAATTACATTACAATGGCTCCAGCTAGGGCAGGCTGGGCAGATGTGAACCAATAATTCTGAAGGAGGGACTTTCTGCCAGAGAGGTAAATAGGTCTGGGACTGTAACTAGTGCTGGGGGTAAGGAGGAGGGGGAGGTAGATGCAGGGGGTAGGGTTTACAGAGACTATGGCCATCCAGCGAGACTCCAAAGACAAGAGTTCAGCCCTACACCAGATCCTCTGACAAAGGTCTGGAATTGGTGCTGGGAGAGGGTGCATTATGGCAGCATTTAGTATAGCAACAGCCGGCTTGGTACCATCTGTGTGTGGACTTATTTTGTACTCAATTGGGGGAGGGGATGGCAAGACCAAAAATGGGGACAAACCCCAGTTGCTCCCACTTTTTACACCTCTTTGCCTCCTCAATTTTCACTTTTGGTGACTTGCTGGTTCCCGCTGGAAACCACATTATTTTAAAAAGATTAAACGGGAAAAATTATACACCAAGTCTGCATGATATTAAGGATGACATTCCCTGCAAAGAAACACGACAGACTGTCATAGCTCCAGGCACCTAATTTAATTTCCTTTGGGAGCTAAACCTTAGAAGCTTGGATTGAACAAACAGGCCCTGTTCTTTGTATATTTCAGACCTGGAGCTGAGCATGTTAACAGATCTTATCAACAAGACACTGAGATAGACAGCTACGATGGAGCAGCTCCCGGGCGCTCTCCGGAGGAACAGACTCACTGTTGTGATGCAACTGTGGGAAAAGCCTGTGCAGTTCTGGGGCTTAGAGGTCTGGAACTCACTGGGTCCCCATGGAGCTGCCTGGCTCTGTCACAGATAAAGAGAACGGGTACGGTAATGACAGTAGCAATGACAGCAACTCTGACAGCAGGAGCAGCGCCTCCCCCATGTGCCAGGCACTGTGCTAAGTGCTTGACCTACATCATTTCATTGAATCTTCCTGGTGGTCCTGCAAGGGAGGTAACTATCCTCTCCAGTTTGCAGGTGAGGAGAAGCTGAGAGGCGAGAAGTCTCCTGCATTTAGAAAGAACAGTGATCTGGCTATATGGTGGTGGGGGATGCTCTCTTCTTGTCTGGGGAAGGTACTCCAACTCCAGAAGTCTGTATCCTTAGGGCTGACACCTCTCTCTTCTTGGTGGGGGAGGTGAAGGTGACTCTGGCTTCTGTGACTGCTCTGGAAAACCAGCAATCCCAACCGCAATCAGCTACAGGCCTCCTGGCCACCTGCTCAGCTCAAGGGGGTCTCTGCAGGCCTGTAGCCCTGAGCCTCACAGAAATGCAGCTGCTCAAAAACCAGGTTGGCCAACTGGAAAGGAAGGAAAGTCACGCTCAAGATGGTTTCCCTGTGAGGACAGTGGGGCAAATTTCCAGGCCGGTACAGTTGCATACATAAGGCAACAGTTATTCTAGCTCAGAAAATGATAATGAAAATAACAACAGCACTCACTGATATAAACACCAAGACCCAGGCATAAAATCTTATTTTGTTATCCCACTGAAGGTGTACAAACAGCCCTTGGAGGGAGGAGATCCTTTAGTGAGAAAGGAAAATCCCCTAAACCCCTGGGAGCTTTTTAAAATATGAAGATGCTAGGCCATGGAGGCAGGGGAGAGGTCATGGTGATCTGCTTCCGTAACGAATGGAGCCTAGGAAACCCTATGGGGCAGTTCTACCCTATCATATAAGGTTGCTGAGTCAGAATCCACTGCATGGCACACAACAAGGCCCCATCCAGACCTCCTGAATCAGAATATCTTGGGCTAGGCCAAGGCATCTGCATTTGAAAAAGGCAGTCCAAGAGATCACAGATGGGAAGAGTGCTGGGAAGTACTCAGACACACAGGGGAAGCAGGTCTGGGCACAGACATAACCAACAGGGTGAGCTGGTAGCTGCAGCTCCACCGCCATCTAACTGGCTGACCTGTGGAATGGGAGCCGGGGAGCCCCCACCCCTTCTGGCCAGGGAGGGGGCTTGGAATCCAGGCCAGCAGCTTACTCCAGTGGGCTCACACCAGGTGCCTTATGACAGCCTGGCTGGTTGGTGGTGAGGGAGGATTGTCAACAACTTTCCCATTGCCCAGGCCCCAGCAAGTTCCAGAAAGGAACCCGAAAAGTGATCTTTCGTTAGTGCCTGCCCTGGGCAGGCCCAGCTAGGCTGCAGGCAGCAGCCCAGCAGCCCAGCAGCTGCAGATCTGACGCCGATTCAAATGTCTGTGGTCAATGATAGTTCTGAGTCTGCAAACAGCGGGTGACAGTGCCCACTCCTTCCCCTTACTACGACAATCCACACTTTGTCCAGGACCTTGTTTGCTTTTCGTGTTGACACGTTGTTCTTGCTTCCCAACAAGTTTGGCTTTCTTTTTCCCTCCCTTTCCTTCTCTCGGGGAAGGAAATGTGTTGTTTACAGTGGTAGGGCCTGCCAAGGAGCTGCTCTGGCACTCACAATGGCAATGGAGGAGGCAGGGATGAGTAAGCAGTCCAGTCTGAATCCCTTCCCCCCATCATGCCAGACAATAGCCAGAAGACAGCCTGGAGACCCCCCAGGCTCAGAAGCAGAGGCATGTGTGGAGGTACCAGGCTGCAGTGGCTGCAAAGTGAGGCCTCACTCATTTCCTGCTCTGGGTGGGTGACGGGAAGTTGGCTTTGGTAACTAGAAGCAGGCTCAGGCTCCTTCTGCTCTGGCTGTTGGCTGGTGAGGACACAGCGGGGCATCATAGTCCTCTCCTAAAAGGGAGGGGACTGTATTACCCCCAGCATGTTACTGAGATTTAAGCCTTAATGGGAGTATTCCCAGGACAAACCAAACAAAGGTTGCCAGGTTGTGGCCAGGTTCACCAGTGGAAGGAGAAACAGTAGAGGCACCAAAGGGAGCTGCTCAGGGCCTGGGCCGGAATTCCCAGGTCATCTTCCACACGCCATCCAACTGGGTGGATGGGGAAGGCGGGGGCCTTGTTCAGAGAGTGGTGAGTCAGCAGCCGGGCTGGGAGAGCCCAGCAGCACTTTCCGGAGCCTAGCCTGCAGCAGCAGAGCCCACTAGGAACATCTGCTGGGCATCTTCTCCCAAGCTGGGGCCTCCCATCAGGGCTGGCAGGGAATGGCTGGGAATAGGGGTGCCACCTGGGTGAGCTGTCAGACATCAGGCAGCTGAAAAAGCATTGTAGGCTTAAAAAAAATCTCATATTTGGTGATGTGACCGCTACATGACCTCTGAGGCGGAGATCTCTCCCCCTTCAGATCAGCCCTGGCTGGGGACGGATGAACGCCTCAGCTCTGGGCCCGGCTCCCGCTCAGAGGACAGTGTTGACAGACTCAAGGGAGAGGCCTGTTGAAGCCACTGGGGTGAGGGAATGCTGGGGGAGGGTGATGCAGGAGAGGACCTTGGCAGTCCTCTCACCCAGGGTCTGAAGACCCTTCTGCAAAGTTCTGGAGTTGGCTGAGAGAGTTTACAGTCCCATAGTGGATGAAAACAGCAAATGGTAGGGGTGACAGAGTCAAGGTGTCAGTGTCTGGAAACTGAAAAGCCTGTGGAACAGGAGCTGGACTCCTGCCTCTCCAGCTCCTCCATAAAGCAGGGAGTGTCCACTGCGCTCAACCTGGCACTGCAGCTGTTGCTGCTTTTCTGTGTGCTGTGGCCTTGACTTTCCTGGTCTGGAGAGGTGGGGGCTACGGGGCGGGGTGGGGGTGCAGAGGGCAGGTGCAGGCCCGGGAGTAGATGGGTGTGGAGGCCTGTCTGGGGCCATTCCACAAGCTCCAGAAAGGAGCCTAGATTCCCTAACCTGCTGCCTTTTCCTCTCAGCCTCTCCTTTGTCACGCTTCCCCCATGCAGGATGTCTTTGCTGTGCCTTTCCCCAAGAGATAGCTGGCCTGGGCTGGTAGCCAGAAGAAGGTGCCAAGGCTGGGAGTGAGGGTTTCTAAGGCTGATGCAAGAAAGTCATCTCGGCCCCTCCCAATTCAGCAGGGACCAACAGGGAGGACTGAAGCAGCAGCCAAGAGAAGAGAAGTCTGGGTCTCTTCATGTCCCAGGTCTACTGCATTCAACTCCTTCCAACAGGCTTAGGCACATGGAGATACCACGAATCCTGGGAGCAAGAGCAAGACTGACCTGCAGGGGGTGAGGGCACGCCTCTCTACGCTGGGGTCTCTGCTGAGGGGCCTTCTTGGCCCAGTGGAGAGGGCCTCACTGATGACTCTGATAACCCCTGGCCTCCAAGAGGTCCTGCAGACTTCTGGGTAGGCAGCCAGTCCCACAGAGAGACTTAAAGGCCCGCAAGTAATCACAAGCCCAGGTTCCCACACGCTAGGGAGCTGCCTGTGACCACAGTGGCAAGACCCTGATGGGGAAGGCGGGCTGGCAGTCAGAAGCAGAAAATGCTGACTGCCTTAGAGGGGAGGATGGTGGGTGTGGGTTTGGCTCAGCAGCTGAGAATCTGGCTGGTGCAGGGTCAGAGGGTTTCCCAGGGCTCCTCAGGAAGGGCCTGAGAAACCCCTCGGAGAGCAAGGGTGCGTGCTTGAGGAGTGGGGCCTCAGCCAGCCTTCCTGGGAGCTCCGCTTCGAGCTGGCCCCCGTGGTAGACCACACTAATGAGCCCATAACACAGGCTTTTGATTAAGCAGCTCCCAGCACAGCAACTTTATTGAAACATGCCGAGGCCAGCGGGCTCGTTCCCACCGCTCCCCGGTTCCCCAGGCAACAGCCCACGGGAGGGGACTGCGTGCTGGGGAGTGCTCAAGCTCACTGAGGGACTGCCAGGGGGAATAAGGGGCTCCCCCTTCTTCCTTCAGCTTGGCGTTGGGTCCAGAAGGCTCCAGGGGGAACTGAGGGGCAAGGCCTGTGTAATTGGAGATGTTGACCACCCCTCCCCAGCGTAGGACAACAGCCCCAGCCCAAATTTTTCTGGCTCCCGTTTTACTGGGGAAGGAAAAGAGCCGAGGAGGATTACAGAACTCCGAGGACAAGTTCCGAGTTGAGAATGTAAAACATAACTAGGTGGAATTTCTTCCTGAGTTTGGGAAGACCCCAGTCCCTTCTTTCCCAAGAAAATGTGCTTGAACTTTCAATACACATAAGCACTACCTGAGGATTCTTCTGTGGTGACCTGTTAGCCTGTCAGCAGGCTGATGTCTACTGGGAATGATGACCTGTGAACTGAACTGTGAACTCACTGGGGCTGGGGTCACCTGCCCAGTCCCCACCTCCCACCTCCCTATGCTCTGCCAGTAGAGAGGCCTGCTTCCTCCCTTCTCCACGGAGGCTGCAGTGGCAGCCTGGGACATGGCTGGGGGCCGGGGAAGGCCCTTTCCAGTTGTGCTGGGCTAATTTCAAATGTTACACTTCAGAGCTTTTGCTACAGTAACTACCAACACCACATGGACAGAAATCTAATGTTACCAAGTGGGACTTTTAAAATGTATTTATAACTTTATGGTTCAAAGTAATTTTGTTATGAAACAATGTAATAACAACAGTGGAAAAAGGCAAGATAATTTATGGAACACAATATCCCTAAAGCACTAGCTTCCATTTCTACTTCGGCTTAGTCTGGGGAGCGTGGTTGGTATTCTTTGTTTGCTGTTTGTTTTAATTAAGGGTTAGTATTTTGGCGGTGGGTGGGGGTAGGGAGCCAGCTGAAAGAGGAGACATTCTGCTGCAAACCGACACACAGACAAAAAAGCATGTCCACATTAAGAGTATATATGCTTCACAGACCCCCTCAGACCAAGTTAAACCCACAAAACTGGCAAAATTCCCCTTTTCCTCTACTGTAACTCACCCCCTCCCCCTGCCAAAAAAAAAAAGACCACAAACAGGGCATGGTCACCTTTTGGATTAGGGTCAGATTCCCTTTCTTGATACTCCTGAGAGAGGTAAAGTAAAGTGTTCCTTCCCCTACCCCCAACAAACAAAAAGCAAAACAGGATGTTGGTTGTTGGTCTTCCAAAAGCACCTGGGACTGTGATGGACCAGGGCGAGGACCCGTTAGAAACCTGGGAAACGGTGAGGGCTGGAAGGAGGCCTGTGGCTCTCAGGCCCCAGCACTCTGCTTGGCAGTTGCTCTGAAGCTGTGCTCCAGCCAGAAGAGCAAGTAGGGACAAAGTGTTCTGGACAAGCCAGTGGGTTTCTGTTCAGACAACCTGGGTTTCCATCAGGAGCAGCAGGAGAGCCACAGGTATGGCAGGTGGGGTGACGTAGGTCTGGCTGCTGAGGTCTGCCCATCCCAGCCCCAGGTCCAGGCATACAGGCCTGTTTTCTATGAATTCTGGCAGGATGACCATACAGCCACTAAGAGTGGCCTCACACATCCTCCTCCACCCCCAGTTTCTTCTGCCTTGGTTTACCCAGGGTGCAGAAAGTCCTACAACCCTCAAACCTGGATTTCCACAGGAACCAGAACTCCCAACGGGTCTGGAGAGATATCACTGGTGTCTCAGGTGATGGGAGAAGCCAAGAAGTGCTCCTGGAGCTGATGGGATAGGCAGCGCATCCACCCTCCACATCTACATACAGGCATCAGGTCCTCAGTTCAAGAGGCATCTCGTAGCAAACCCTTTAGGAAAGAGAGCTACCAAGAGCTGCCATGGGAGGAGAAGCAGGGGATGGGCAAGGGATGAGCCTATGGAAAGAAGGTAGGGAGAAAAAGATCCTTCTCACTTGTAACCAGGGTCCATGAGCCGCGTAAGGATGCTCCTCAGTGGCAAAGGCGCCTTCCACTCCCGTGGAGACAAATGTGATGGCCATGTCACCAGTGATACTTTTATATGTAAAGTGCCGTCCATGCAGGAGTCTGCCCCTGGGGGTGGGAACATGGAGACAGTGAGGAGCTGGGCCTGGACACAGCCCCAGAGCAGCAGGCCTGGCCAAGGCTCTAGGACCATGGGCCTATGCTTCCTGCCCACTAACAGGGGACTCCTTCAACACCTTCAAAGAGAAGCCTCTCTCACAAGTTCTCAAATGTCATTCTTCCAAAGTGCTCAAAGGCAGCAGAGACAACAATGGACCAGAGTCCAAAGGGATGGCAGAGGTAGTATAGCCCACCTCCCTCATGTATTGGTGAGGAAACTGAGACCCAAAGTCACACCAGAGCTAAGTGGCATGGACGCTCCTTTGTTTGGGGCTGTGGAGGAGGGGGTAGTACCTAAATAAATTTCCTGAGCCCCTGGGATGATGGCATAGTGTCTGTGTCCTGGACAGAATTTTCTACCTGCTCCTGGGCCTTCCCACAAGATCTAAATGGCCACCTCTAAGGCCACAAATACATTAAAAAAAAATGCTGAAGCCAAGTGGGGTCACTCTGAGGAAGCCATGAGAAGTCACTGTTAAGCCCCAGTCTGGAAATATACCTGGGGGAAGGGCAGGCAGGGGCAACCAGTGGGGCAGAGATGCCAGTCAGCAAAGGAAGCAAAACCTGCTCTTTGCTTTCTCAGACTGTCTCAGATTAACCCTTCACCAGCCTAAAGGTCCTGAGCTGGGCAAAGAAGTAGCCTGAGAAGAAACGGCCGGAGTCCTGGTGGTTAGCCCCGCCAGGTCCTGTCCATTCTGACCATTTGCTATCTTTGCCTTGCTGCCCAGGGTGGCTGGCCAAGGCTGGTTACAATCCAAGCTCCCTTCCTAGGCTCCAGGGATAGTAAAGACAGTTCAAACCAGTGTAACCCCCTTCTTCCCTGTCACTGTTCCCCAAATTTAGTTATTCTTGTTGCCTCCCCTGATATAAAAGTGAGAGCGGAACCCTGAGTGCTGTGCAGGAAGCCCGCTACAATGCTGCAGCCCTGTAGAGCATCCCAGGAGCACAGAGCTGAAGTCTGGCCACAGGGCTGGGTTTCTGGCACTGTTGTCAGGAGCAGAAGGGACACAGTTGGCTTTCTGGTCCCTCAAGGAGTTTGCTGGGCTGGCCACTGGGTTTGGAAAACTGAGTGTTTTGCACAGGAAAAGCAACAAGCAGGAGAAAGCAGAGCCTTACCCATCAGAACCCCTGTCCTGATAACCCCTAACTCTGGGCCTGTGTGACGGTGGGGGACATCTGAGGCTCCTTGGTCACCAAGCCTTCCCTAAGGGGATCAGGACTGAGGGACAATTCTCTGGATGAGGGGAGTTTTTCAGTACCTAGTCCCTGTGGACTCTTGACTCTGAAAGCTTGCAAATGAGGGAGGTGTGTCAACCAAGGCCCTAGACTAGAGACCAGTGGGGCTTCTTGACCACAATCAGGGGCTGACTGGGGGCTGCTGCTGCTGGGGGCCGAACAGGAGATTCAGAGAAGAAAGCGCCTCTCTAGGGATGATCCACAGGGCTGACTCGCCCCTGCTACTGGCCAACTTCTCACACTGACACTGGCCAGAGGCATGGGCAGGGAGAACACTGCATGGCCCAGTGTCACTGGGGCTACTGGCTGCCTTGAAGTCCACAAGCTTCCACATGGGCCCAAGATGGAGCTGCCCAAGGAGTTTTCCCTTCCCCCTAGCCCCAGACTCAGCCTAGATATGTGACCCACCTCACCAGGGGAGATGGCATGCATAGGCCCAGTGGCTCCTTGAGGGCTCTGGATGATGCTGGTGGGGGATGTTTGGGGAGGCCAAGCTGGGCGCTTCGGGGCCGAGTAGTGGGGCTGTCGGGGCTCACCTTAGGCAGAGAGGAATGAGGGCCCCTGACTCCTGGTTGAACTTCAGGTGTACACTCTCGAGCTGCCGCGTGCGGATCAGCTCATGGGGAATAATAGCTGTGGAGCTGTCGCTTTCCAGACTGTCTTTGCGGCTCCTGTGAGGCAAGTATAGGAACAGGTTCAGAACAAGGATGAGAGTCTCTCAGGCTGGGCTCCTGATTAATAATGACAATAATAGTGACTGATGATAATGATAACAGTAACAGCAGCCACCATTCACTATGTGCTTGCCAAGTGCCAGCCACTGTGCCCAGCACCTTGGACTGACTGGTTACTCCCCACGATGCCGCTATGAGGTAGGTACTATTATTATCATGTCCACTTTACAGTTAAGGAACTAGGGATCAGGGAGGTTAAGGTTACTTGTCCAGGTGGCACAGCTGGTGAGTGAGTAGAACTGAGATTTGGTTCCAGGTAAGTCTGGCTCTAAAGCTTGCATCTTTGGCCAACACACTGTAGCTTTTGTTGCAGTGGCTTGCTTTTCCCTATAAAATGAACGGGAGCTTCTGGGAGCCCTTCTTCCCCTGCCCTAGAGCCTCAGAGCCCTGGTTATCCAAGGCTGGGGTGACACAGCACCACATGACATGGCTCCAAATGCTTCCTTCCAGCTGACCCTGAAAAGGCTGTGACATCAAGGAAGTTCTGAGCATGTACACTGCTGCTGACCACCAGAAGCTGCAGTGACATACACATCCTTCATCTAGCTAGGAAATGACATGGCTCCTCATTGCGGGCTGCAGACAGGGCTCTCGAACGGTCAGGACCAGTGGGGCCTGGCTGGGCAGCAGAATCTGGCCTCTGCCCTGCTGGAACCCTGCACCAGATTCTTCCTGACTGTGGCCTTGGCCACTGGGAGCTGTCACTGCTCCCACCAACATCCTGTCCCACAGGTGGTCCATGGGTCCCTCTGCAATAGAAGATTTGCTCTTTCAAATTCAGCTGCTCCCACTGACAACCTCTCAAATATGCCTCAGCTGGAAATCAGGGTTACCCACTGATCCCATTCAAAAGACCGGATCCTGGTTTGGGCTTGTGAGTCTCAGAACAATCCCCCAAGTGTCCATCAACATACTGGGTGAGAAGCTCTAGTAATTTATAATTCAAGCAGCAAGGAGCCACCCAGGATGTTTGGGCCCCAAGGCCAGACAGCCACTGAGGGGTGGGGCCAACCTCCCCCCACACTGGGGGGCTGAGTCCTGGAGCCGGTGGACGATGAGTACTCAGACAGATAGACAAAGCACCTCCCCAGGGAAGGGTGTGAGGTCAGCAAGCAAAAGGATGGAGGGTGACATTGGATAGCACAGGGCCCTGTGGGGCAGTGGTTTATAAATGCTCCCGAGGTGACAGGGCCATTCCCACCAGCTGGTCTCCTCCCTGGTCACACCCAGATTTGACTGCTCATTAACAAAGCAGTCCCTTCCTTTGATTTCTCAGAGCCAATTCTGAAACCACCCTTTTTTCTCCTAGCTTCTCCTTTGACAAACCCCTTCACAAGACCGTGAAGACAAACATTACAGCCAAGAGGGTCTTGGAATTTCAGGACTGGAAGGAAATTCTGAAGTGGTTTAATCTACCCCTTTACTTGACAAAAGAGAGAGTAACTCATACAAGGCCACAGTTGGTCTGTGGCCGGCCAGGGTGGGAGCTATTGACTTATGACCAACTTTCTCTCCCTTACACCACAGCTGCTCTGAGGAGAGCAACACCATATCCAGCCCAGGCACCAAATGATGGGTGAGTGCTCAGCATGTGACACAGGGGTGCCCTTGGGGCCCAAACAAGAGCTGAACTCATGAAATAAGACCAGCCCACATTTGTGGAGCTAAGTCCACAGATTCATTCATTGAAGCCCCATGCAAGTACCCGAGGTAGGTCCTTTTACAGACGAGGAAACTGAGGCTCACAGAGGTGAGGTGGCAAGCCTGAGGTCAGAGAGTGGGTTTAAATAGGGGAGCCAGGATGTGACTCTCACAATTACTTTCCTAAGCTGCAATGACACACCACCAAGGTCCCAAAAGGGGCTGAGGCCTGGCCCACCCAGGTGGGCCTCTGGGCCAGTGATGCCCGCTGGAGGATCCCAGCCTCTCTGGCATAGACAAAAATGTGATGAATAGCCACTGGGGGTGGGGGTGGAGAGCTGGTAGAGAAGAATCAACAGCACACAGGACTAGAGATGTCTCAAGCTGGAGGGAAAAATAAATTGTTGAAAGTCAGCTAAAGTCACCTTGGTAACTGCTACAACACACTCACCCGGAACGAGGACATCAAACCCAACTGCAAACAGCTTTAAAGAAATGGAAAAGAACTTAATCATCTGAAGAATTAATGTGACAAGTGCCCACATTTACACCTCCCACCAACCTTCAATCATTTGAAAACGTACTTTAATCTTTTAAGAGAAAAAAAAAAAATTGCAAAATGCTAGATCTGCAGTCCTGGAGCTTGGGTATTTCCGGCACGCTGCTTCAATGGAAACGCGGCAGCTCCACACACACACACACGTAGGAGCCCAGCTTTTTGCTGATTTGTTTTTTCTGGACATCGATGCAGAAGCATGAATTATTTGTGTGGGCCGGGTGAGGTATTAAATGTGCAGCCGACACAGGTTTGCAATGTTTTGCATGGTTGTCAGCTTAATCTTAGTCATAAAAAAATAAGTAGTGTGCTCGCTAGCGTGGCCTAATTTTTCAGCTGGGTTGTTTTCTCCCTGACTTCCCAGTGGAGAAGGCAGAGCTCTGGGAGTTGGAAGGGAAAGGGGCTTCCAGTGAGGCATGGCCTGCACCTGCTAGGGACGGCCTAAGGGCATGGGTCCAGGAGGAGAAGGATGAGAGATTGCTACAGGAAGCAGAATACCTAAAAGCACGGGTACTGGGGTAGGAGAGACCTGGGTTCCAGTCCTATGTGACTGACCTTGGGCAAGTTGACTTAGCATCTCTAAGCTTCGGTATCCTCTTGGTGGGGATTAATAACAATCCTGTCCTCATGAGGTCATTATAAGGACTAAATAAGATGATCTATGTGAGGCATCTAATAGCACCTGGGATGTAGTAAGGGTTCAAAAGACATCTGACGAATGCATTAATGGGCCGAGGTTAGCTGGTTGCCTCTAGAAGTCTATCTGCTTCTCCTGCAAGAACACCAATGACTTAGCAGAGACTTGTTTGCCTTTACCCTGGGCGCAGAGTCCAACTGCCTCTGGCCAGGTCATTTCCCTCTGCTAAGCAAAGGTCCTTACTCTGAGTTTGGCAGAAGGGGCCTCTAGATGGTGCTTGGAAGGGCTCCTGACTCCTTGAGCAGTCACTGCAGGCTCTGGTCAACTGCTGGTGCTCTGGGAAGGCCCGACTACAGGCCAACAAACCCCTGTGAGGTCTCAGTTCTTCTGAGGGAGGTGCTGGCAGAACCGTCTTCCTTCTGAACAGCACAATCTGCCTTTCTGCAGTTCTCACCTACTGGTCCTCAAATTGCCCAGAAGTAGTTTAATCCATCTTCCCATGGCAGCATGCTGAATCCCTGAGGCTGCTGTCACATCTCATCAACGGTTTCTCTTTTCCGGTATCTGGGGTCTCAACTTTCAACTATATTCTTAAGACAGGGCTCTGAAACCTAACAACCATCCCTTGGATTCACTCTAGCTTGTCAAGGATAGAATGTAGTATCCAGAAGTGAAGTGTTGTGTGCAGAAGTAAATACAGTCCGTAGTCTAAGCAGTGCAGATCACAGAGTATGACTGGGATACTTTATTTCTATTAAAACTCTCATCAAATTTTCTATTCTTTGTACCCTCATCACACTACCAACCTATACTGCACTCTCTATGTCAATGAAATCTCCCTCAGGCTTTCTCTCAAGGGCTCTTAAACCTCTTCTCCCCCATCCTGTATTTGTCTTGCTGATTATTTGGAGCTAAGAGCAGAACTCTGCATTATCTGGTTACTGTTCCAGGCAGTCTGGATGTTTCTGAAACCTGACTCTGGCATCTATCAATTGGCATTTCCTCCTACCTCCACATCACTGACAAAACTGACAAACTCACCATCTATGTTTTCATCCCAGGCTTTGATTAAACAGTGAACAGGACAGAGCCATGCAGACAGGCTGACAGACTGACATCATTACTCTTTGGGTATGCTCATTCAACCAATTATAAATCAACCCAACCATCTCATCATCAAGCCCCTCACTCTCCTGGATGCTCTGTGGACATTTCTCTGTCTTGCCCACCATTATGTCAGAAGATATTCTTAAAATGTCTTGCTAAACCCTGCTTATAGAAGGTCTACAGCATTCCTTTGCCTCCCAGGCAGGTAATCCTTTCTAAAAAGGCAGTGAGGATGGTCTGGCATGCCTGACTCTTTGTGAATTCATGCTGACTCTCAGGGTTCACTGTTGCCTTTAAAGAGTGTTCACAGTCTATTTGTTGAATAATCTAGTCCAGAATTTTCCCTCAGAGTGACACCAAGCTCACTACTATAGAGAGTGAAAGATGCTTCTTGCATCTTGAAACATTTGAATGCTTCCAGTCTGCCAACACCTCTCTCCCAGTCCCTCAAAGATTACTGACACCAGCTTCATGAATATCATCTGCCAGTTCTCCTGGTATTCTGGGGCACAATGTATGTGGACCAGAAGACCTGAAATCATTGCTTCAGTGCCTCTTATCAATACCTGTTTGATCCTTCTTAGTCTGATGATCATTCTGTATGAGATGGAAGCATAAGAAATTGAATAAATTCTGTTTTCTCTCTGCCCCTGATTAACGTCACTCTGCTTGTCCAAACAGTTTCCCTTCTTCTTCTTGCTCCAAACAGAAGTACAAAAAATAAAGTCTTTTTTTGCTTGCTATTGCACTTTTTTGCCAGACTCAGTTTATACTGAGTCTCAGCTTTTCTTGATCCTGTTTCTTAATGTCTGTGCTGGTATAACACAGTTCTCCTTATAGCTTTTATTCAAAGTCTTCTAAAAAAATGCGTGTGTGAAGTATTCTCTAGATACTTATACTGGTCCCTGGAGGTATTACACCTCCTTTTTGTTTTCAGGGGACCATCCACAATAATAGTAATATTAAGGGATACCTTTTATTGAGCACAGACTTGGT